TGGTGTTGCCTCACAACTTGAATCAATGTTTTCTTGACTTCTTTCTTGCACTTGGGTGAGTACAATGGTTCTTGGTTGGACCTTCAAAACTTCACCACACGAGACATGGATATTAACTTCTCTTCTCATGCGAGATGGAACGACACACCTGAGCCTTTTTGAGGGTTCCATTTCAGTAGGAGGGTTGGTTTGCTCCTTCGAACTCTGAGTAGGCCCAATTCTGTCATGTACTGATTTTCTCTTAGCCGATTTGGGATTTGGCCCAAGTCTGCGGAAGACTGATTGTCGTGCTTCTACATTTCCGATTCTATCAAAAACAGACTGTTTCTTGTCACCTTCCTCCTCATCTGTAAAAGTGATGCAATTACTTGTGGCTCTGTTTATGAATATTCGCACTGGCTTAGGGGGAACATAACCCAATCCTTTCCGTTCATGCGGCTCCTGCTGAGTTGACTTGCCTTTACCACCAGCTTCTGGGATGAGTTTCCCTAGCTTTTGTGGCTCTTTGGGATCATATCCAGCTTTGAATAGAAGTTTATATGCATTAGGGTCAAAGCCGCCAGTGCGCTTAGCGGGCACTGTTTGACTTGCCCCAACTTGAGCTTCATCTTCAAGCGATTTACCTGGAGCTGCTGCTTTTAATGTTTCAATCCTTGCGAGTGGGAGAACAAGTTCCTTGTCGCAATGAGCTTGGTCTACAACTTGCTTGCCTTTCCACCTCGGATCAAGAGGCGTGTCAACATTGCTTTGCTCAGCCTCCTCTACAACTTGTTTCTTCAAGTAAAACTTTGCATCTGCAAAGTATGATTCTGCTTCAATGAAGGGAGTTTCATCAGCGACTACCTTCTCTATCACCCCGCCTTTTTCAAACATGAGGTATTGGTGCCAGGATGAGGGAACTACTCCATTCTCATGTATCCAAGGCCGGCCCAGCAGCAAGTTGTACGACGTCCTTGCATCTATCACATAACATAGTGTACTTGAGTTTAGTGTTCCGATCCTGAGGTTGAGTCTGATGGTACCCAGTGCTCTTTGTCCGCTTTGATTAAATCCTTGAATCATTAAGCGGCTTTGAGAGAGCTCATCGGTGGAGATGCCAAGTTCTTTCATAGCTCGGAGTGACAGAATGTTCACAGCCGACTCTTGATCAATCAAAATCCTTTTAATCTTTTGCTCGCGGGCATAACCTTCAACAAACAACGGACGATTATGTGGTGTACCACCAAGCAATAGATCCTCATCTTTAAAAGTTATCTCGGCGGTATAAGACGCAGCTTTGTGGACTTGAACCTCGTCACCTCCCTCAATGACGGGGAATGAACATTCCTCCTCTTCAACATGTCTCTCTTTAATACTCAAGCGAGTTCCAGGAATATTTGTCCCATGCGGAGGAAGCGCCTTCGGCATGTATTGAGCCAGGGCAACTGGTGTTCGAGACGTGCCGGGACGTCCTCTCATCTTTGTGTCATAGGCGAGGTCCCTTGCTGGCTTTCTCTCAACCCATTGCTTCGTTATTCTCTTCAAAGATCTAACATGTCCAGCATTGTTCCTTTGTTTTTTGCGGGTAACAATTACCCAATCCTTCTCGCATACCGGGTTGACCTGTGGTAACTCCGGCTGTTGCCTCGTAGCATGTTTCACAATAAATGGAAGCGGGCGTTTGTATTGCTTGCCCCCATCCTCTTCATCACTCTCCTCAACTAACGGAGCGAACCTTTCGCATGAAATTTGGTTGGTGCTGGCAGTTGCATCAGTCAGCTCAATCTTTCCATCACGAGCAAGTCTCATCACCTTATCTTTAAAGACGAAGCATTTTTCAATCGGGTGTCCGAGGAGACGATGATACTTGCAATAGTTGGGGTCGTCCACCTTAGAAGCTTCTTCGGGACGCTTCATCTCCGGTAATTCAATCAACTTAAGCTTTAACAATTCGTCAAACATGGGTGACACATCAGAGTCCAAGAACGGATACTGTTTTTGCTGCATCTCTTCAATGATTCTAGTACCCCAAGATGGGCGGGAAAATGACCTTAGCCTGGGATTTTCAGTTACTTTGGCAAAAACCCGCATTGGTGCTGTTTTTACGTTCATGGCCTCTTTCTTTTCTGGTTTCGAGAAGGGCTTGCCCCCTTTCTTGAATTCTTGTTTTATAGGTGCCTTGGATGAGCTAGGGATACTTGACATGCCGAGCCCTCCATTGGCTTCAATACTCAACTCCATGTCATGAGCACGACTGGATAGTTCTTCAAATGTTCTAGGCTTGATTCCCTGCATGATATAAGAGAGCTCGAAGTGCATCCCTTGGATGCACATTTCAATTGCGGAGCTTTGTGATATCCTCTCTTTACAGTTAAGGCACAACTCCCTCCATCTCTCGATGTAAGTGCCCGCACGCTCACCTTTCCATTGGTGGGTAGTGGTGAGTTCCAAGAAGCTGACAGTCCTCCTGGTGCTGTAGAAGCGGGTCAAAAACTCGCGCTCCATATCATTCCAGCTATCAATGCAACCATGCTCCAGGTTTGTGTACCAATCAAAGGCAGTGCCCTTCAGAGAGCGGACGAACTGCTTGACGAGGAGATCTCCGTATGTTCCTGCATCATTACAGGTTTCAACGAAGTGGGCGATGTGCTGCCTCGGGTTGCCTTTTCCATCAAACTGCTGGAACTTGGGAGGTTGATAGCCCAGCGGCATTTTCATTTCTTCAATTCTCTGAGTATATGGCTTAGTGTAAGTATATGAAGATTGTCTTCCCTCGAGTTTCCCTTTAATTGCTCCCATGATGTAGTCGTTCAACTGCTCGACGGGTATCATGCCCTCAGAAATTAGAATACTCTTCTCGGCGGGTGGTGGGCGAGAGATTGTCTCTTCCATTCCTGGCCTACTTTGATGGCGCGGGGACTCGACATCAATCTCATCTCCTTGGGTTTGAGGCTACTTCCCGGAAGCCCGACTTGTTTCGCCGTTTCTTCCGCTTTCAACCTTTTCGCTAAGCTCATTGATCCGCCTTTCTTGGTTATGCATGAGTGCAGCTATCCCCTCGAGAGATTTAGTGATGTTTGCAAGTTGTTCCTCCACCGAAGCCGCGTTCGTTGTCATAGCGGGCATAATTGTGTATATGTGATTCCATTCCGGTGAGGTTCTCTGCAGAAGTGACGACTGCGACGAACTTCCACTGCTTGGAGTTTTATTCGGGGGAATAGGGCTCGCAGGACTCTTGTTGCTTGGAGCTCCCTCACTTGTAGGATTCTGGTCAGCAACAGTTTCCTTTGTAGAGAATGATCCTTTGTCATGTGCAGCTCTCCGTGACATAGTGGAGTTTCTGTCAATCCTTCGGACGATGTGGCAGGCAATGTCCTGGGCCTCGTGGAGTTGCACCCCTAGGTTCCTCACTCGGCTTCGAGTCATTGATCCTCCCACGCCTTGGCTATCACCGGAACCGGCCGCAGATGATGCCCTGGAGCGGGTAACTTGAGCATATGTCATCTTGGAGGAGGGATTTCTTGATGCCATTTAGATTCCTTCCTTGTTGAGCTCGTGAATCAATAGTGAAGAGATGAGAGGCAGAGTAGTCCCACTGGGCGTGCCAAAATCTGTAAACACAAAAAAGCAAACTTTGTATATATTCACAAAATTCCGTGTACAGCGTGCGTATAATTCAATACATGTACAAAATCTCTGTCTAGTCCTTTGATTTTTCACTGACGTTATCTATGGAAGTGCCTCCGGAATTCAAGTAGCGTAGCCTCCGGGATTCAATTGGCGCGTGCCTCCGGGATTCAAGTGGCGTAGCTTCCGGGATTCAAGTGGCGTAACTCCCAACAACGAGCGTCAAGAATTTAGAAGTAATCAACCCTGCAAAGTTTCAAAACACATGCAATGGATTCAAGTTGCTTTAAGATCCTCAAATGCCTTCAAAAGACTTCAAGATCTTCGAGACAATCAATTCTGCAAAGCTCCAAAGTACCTGCAATAGATTCAAATTGCCTGCAAAATCAACAAAAATGCCTTCAAATCTTCAAGCGTTATTCAATGCCTTCAGGCTCTTCAAATGCTCTCAACTCCTTAAGTCTTCAAGTTCTTCAAGCTTTCAAGTGTGTTTTGGAATGAAATGGAGACTCTATTTATACTAGAAGCCTAACCAACATTCCTCAACAAACTCCCCCTTTAATTAATTAATTAATTATATTAGAAAATGAACCTTGCCCAGAATCAAGTCCAGGTTCATTATCGTATAATCTAATTCAAATTCAAATTAAATTATAATTATCTAATCCAAATATAATAAAGTTAATATTATATTTAAATTATAATTATAATTTAAATTCAAATATGAAATGGGCTTGGGCCAACTAATTAATTAATTCAATAGCCCAAATCAAACTCAATTGGACTAATCAAATTAAATTAATTTCTATGATCCAATTAATCAAATTGGCCCAATCATCATTCTCAACATTGGCCCAATAACACTTTAATCAGTCCATTTATCGGGTTCAAATTTTCTGTGTCTACACAGGTCTTCCGCTCTCCGCTCAGATCGCCAGAGGAATTAGTCTGCGGAAGATTGGTTCTTGTTCGCTGAGCTCGCGCCTCTGTTCTCTCGTGCGTCGACCACCATTGGCGGAAAGAAGGGAGAAGAATCGCTATTTCATGGACTCCAAACATGCTGATACAATCTTATTAACTAACCTAATAATAATAATAATAATAATAATAATAATAATAATAATAATAATAATAATAATAATAATAATAATAATAATAATAAACTAAGATCAAGGAATTAAAGGACTAACAGAATTCAAATACTAAACAAATTTAATAATTAAAACATAAAATTAAATAATATTACTAAAAACTAATTATAGCAATAATAAATAAAAATAGATAAGAATTAATCAATTATTTGCAACTTAACTATAAAAAGATTATTTAAAATAACACTAAAAATATTGTTTATCAACATCCTTCCCACCACAAGTAATTTGCTTATAAAGAGGATGGATGTGGATCCAATTTGTGCCATGTGTGGAATTATGCAAGAGGACACATTGCATGCTTTAGTATCATGTGGTTATGCTAACTCCATATGGGCGCTATCTAACATTCCACTCCCCAATATTGTGACAAATGTTTTCCATGAGTGGTTTAGTGGAATGTTAAATGTTCTAGACACTAATGAGGTTATATATGCAGCTGCAATTCTTTATCATATATGGAGAGCACGAAACGGAGCGGTTTGGGATGCTTGCTTACCTTTGCCCAGAAAAATTGTTGCCAACGCAGTAGCCAACATGCAAGCGTGGAAAGCCGTACACCATGCCACGGCTGCCGACGATGTAACTGTCGCCGCCTCCACTGCTGGACTGCCGCCACCGCCACTGCCGGACGAGACCGCATCTCTGCCGGAGACCGTCCATGCCGCAGCCCCACGAAAATGTTATATGGATGCTGGCTACCAACATGCTACGAATGCGTCCTCAGTAGGAGCTGTACTACTAGAGCCCGATGGAAGATTCGTTGCAGCGTACAATGCCCCCTTACCAGACTACTTTTCCCCACTCATGGGCGAGGCTTTTGCGTGTAAGGAGGTTTTATCTTTGTTACGGGACCGTGGCGAGCACACCGTCCGACTTTACACGGATTGTCAGACTCTACACTGCTATCTGTCCTCAATAGGACCCCCCCCCCTCTGATCATACATCGGCTATGCCGTTGATGCTTGCAAGACTTGCATATCTACTTTTGATTTTTGCTAAGTTAATTTTATTCCTAGATCTCAGAATTTATTAGCTCATACCTTAGCTTCTACAGTTTCAGAATAGTCTACAGCTTTGTATTTGGACTCAGTCTCCCCTGACTCTATTCTGGTTTATCTATAAAATAACCGTGTATGGTTGCCTTAAAAAAATAAAAATATCTCCACTTCTTCTCAGAATATGCCTAACTTGTCTTAAAAGATCCAATATCTCTACATTGTGAGACCTTTTGAATAAAAGTAAGGGTGTGTTTGATTCGCACATGGGAATCGGAATCAGAATGGGTATCAAATACTTGCACTAGTACAGAAATACACATCCGCTACCCTTGTAAATGACTATCCGCTACCCTTGTACAAGAGTAGCGGATGTTAGGGTCACAGAAAGTCCTGGGCTTTCCGCTACCCTTTTAAAGGGTAGCGGAAAGTTGAGTATCCACTACCCTTCTAACTGTAGAAGGGTAGGGCATATTATTATTATTCTTTTTTTTTTTTCGTAATCTTCCACTACCCTTTCTGGGAAGAAAGGGTAGCGGATGGTTTACTTTTTTACAAAAAAAAAAATTATTTATTATTTTTAAAATTCCCAATTATTTTAAAAATCTTGTACACCAAATTCATAAACTACATATCAATACAATATTATGAACACAATATTATCAATGCACTTTCAATATAATACTATCAATACAATATTTTATATCAATCAATCTCAATACTTTCATCAAAATAATAAATTATAAACACAAGATAATATTTAATCTAAAATAAAAGTTAAAAATGGACTCCACAAGACATTTTGATCACAACTGTGATGTCTGCTACTACCTGAAGTGTTCGCATATTATGCGAGCTTAAGGTAGCCTTAAAGGCACTTGAAACAACATGTAAGGTTTTGATCATTTCAGGTTTCTTCTTCACATACATCCTTTTCAAGAAGTTAGCAGCAAAGCTCATGGCATATCTGCAGCAAAAGAACAGTGTTGATAAGCAATTTTCACTTAGAAGAGCAAGAAAAAGTCATAACAAAAACAGTGGTATGGCGAGGGCTTAGTTAGTTATTAACAACATCGGTTAACCAAGTATAGAATCAAAATTGTGACATAAAACGTGACACAAGTAGAAAGGAAAGGGCAATGAGGAGAAATGCAGACACAGCTACTTACGTCTTTGCAAGAAGAGGGAGTAGTTGTCTTTGATGGCTGGGGTAATCAAGCAATAAAACTTCAGGTCCATTTGGTGTGACTGAAAATGCTCCCATTGTCAATGAGTATCTTATTGCAATTGCTATGCCCACCTGATGAATATCCAAGTCTTATTACATAACAGTTCTAATTTTATACTTATAAATCTTTCAGAAATACTAAATCAGAGAAGAGTAATGTGTTTTACTTTTGCTGAGTAAGTTACAATGGATGGTATGCTTACATGCCCGGTCCAGTTGGTTCAATTCTCGCGGGAATATATAATGCATTCGATTCAATGGTGTCGGAACAATAATGCATTCAATTCAATATAATAAAAATGAAAAATGCAGATTGATGGTCAATAATTACCTCAGAAATTCGAAGAGCTGTTTGAACAACATAATTGGCATGTGGGTCCTGAAGCAGCTGCTCAAAGTGAGTTGCAGAGACCAGTTCATGGATTATCTTTGACTGGACCTTATAGTCGCATACGATAAGGCATTTTTAAACGACATGGTTGCTGAACTTCTGCGTTAAGAGATGCACAAAGTTACCCTCAAAGTGAGATATTAACTTGGATATCACAGATGGTATCTTAAGCTCCAATATGAACTGAACAACATAATTTCTGCACAGAAACAGATAAACAAAAAGTCTTAGTTAAGCCAGAAATGATGAACTAACAAATTAAAATATAATCCTCTGTCATAGTGATGAATATGGGTGCATCTATAAGACTAACAATGAAAAAAAAAAAAAAAAAAAAAAAAAAGAAGGTTTGATGGCTCAACTCTCAGAAGGTGGGTGGATCTCATCAGATGAATAATCTTATATATCAAGGACAAAGATTGTATGAAAATGAATCTGTGAAATTGAAGTGTTCAGACGTATCATGCATTAAGGAGAGCCAAAATAGTTGTAAAAAATATAGAATAAAAGGTGAGAGGCACGATATTCTAAACAAGCCCTTGATGGCAAATACATAGAAATTTAGAACTCAGCCCTCCATAGCATTTAACATGTATACTACTGGTATAAAGAATCTTATATGTTATGCAAAAAAAAAGGTTTGTCTTGAGTCTTTTCCATTGTGATTTATTACCCAAATACATCCTGAGCTAGAAGAAGTCATTGGCAGAAATTTCTGCAACCAGGTTTTCCCGATATCTCTAGTAGCATGGGCGATGCATCTTTGAATAACACAACACCCATGTTGATGTGTTGCAATATCAACGCAGTACTTTGCAGCTGCAACAAATATGAACTGCCAAATTTGGAATGAATTAGACAAGACAAACTAGGAACTAATTTTGTTATTCTCGAAGGAATAATTCTGATCATATAATAAGCCATCAATAATTATGAACTGTCATCTTCTAGGACATTTTTATGAAAATATTCAATTCTTTTCTTATTATAAAATTATAACTATGTTCAAAAAGACTAAGGGATACAGTAAACTATTTTATTTAGGCAATAAATGATGCAATCTACAGCACAGAACTAAAGCATACCTTACTGTCTCCATTGGTAAGATACTGCAAGCATCTCTGGATAACATGATTACCATTAATATTATGTATATCAGAATCAATTAGTACAGGTATAAAAATATGGTCTCGCAAGAAACCATCCATGATCTTATCATAAAAGCTAAGAGCATTGTTATTCTGTGAAGCATTGAGAAATCTATAATATGAGATACGGCATGTGTTAGAGAAGAATAAGGCATTGATCAGAAAGTTTTATTCTACAAGCAAGGACTACACATAATTTGCAATATTATAAAAAGTGGCTACAAAGTTGAAAATGAGAAAAATTAATATGCTAACTATTAAAGTTCTCTTATAATAAAACAGTTGAAATCGTGTAATAAGATAGATAAGAATACATAGGAGAGTAATGTTTTGGAAAAGGGAAAGAATCCATTCAAAAACCGGATAAAGAGTAAGAGGAATAAGGCACAAAAGTGTTAATTTTTAATTTTCAACTCTGGGTGAAAGCATTCATAAACCTGTAAGGATACAACTACATTTCTGGCAGCTAATTTTGCAAGGTAGCAGAGTTCCCGCATTCTTCATTGGAGTCATTTGACTGGTGATTGAGAACTTCCTCCTCAATCACTTCTGTTTCACTTGTGATAACTGAAACATACTGATGTAGCTGCAACGGACTCAACTCGATCAATTTCTTGAACTTGAATCAGTAATCTTGCAATGATGCTCCAAAGTGCACTTCTTGCTTCTGCATCAGCAGAAGCAAAAGGGAATAGACTAAATAGACCATGTAACAACAAAAGGTCTGAAGATCTTTGTGTTACCAAAAATTATCCTAGGTGGAGCAACTGAAGTCTAAACATGGAAAACTGATGACAAATACCATTTCTTTTAGCAGTAAATCAACTCACCTTGAAATATTTCTAATGCTAGATCATCTGCATCAGTTAGAATATTTGCTAGCAAACAGCAGCAGTAACTCAAGAATCAGCAACTTGTAGGAGATACATCATTTATGGAAAACTGCATCATCTGAGTTTTAAAATGTTTTGCAGCTTTCATATATCCTATTTTCTTATTCATTCCATCAACAGAGATATTTGCACACAATTTATTTACATAATCATGATGCTCATTTGTGTTGTAACAAGAAAATTTTGACAACAGATGAAATTATAGGACTAGTAGCAAAGTTTTGGGCCAAATCACGTGTTTAGAATGACAAGGACTAGTACAAGTTCAACATATGGTTGGTTTTTCCATTTTCAGTTTTTGTTATTTTCTTTAACTAATCTGTGGTAAGTTACATGCTATAACCTTGACTCACTAAGCAAAATTTTCAAAATCTACTGCATATCTCAACCTTTTCAGGAAGTTTGATTAGGTCAGTAATTTTAACAAAAAAAATAAAAAATTACCTGCACGTACAGTTCGGCGGACCAGCTGCTGGCGGTGGAAGTTGCAGAAGCAGCCGCGGCGGCGGCTGAGGAGAACTGTGGCGGTGGAGACGGTGGTGGCGGCGTCGTGGTTGGTTGATGAGAGAGGCGTTAGAGTCCTTATCTTGGTGGTGGCGGCGTTTGATCGAGGCTGAGGGAGTCGTGGTGAGAGAGGCGATGTCAGCGGCGTCGTGGGTGGCGGTGTCGACGGCGGAGTCGTGGTCTATGGTGAGGAGCGACGGTGGAGGTCTGTGATGAGGCGTTGAGGAGAGGTGAGATCTGAGAGCGAGTTGAGATCTGAGATCTGAGAGCGAGATCTGTTTTTTTTTTTTTTTTTTTGATCCACGAGTTTTTATTTATTTATTTATTTAGGATTTTCAGATCTAATTTTCGCTGCCTTTTCTTTTAGAAAGGGTAGTAGAGAGTTTTATTAATTAAAAATTAATATAATATCCGCTACCCTTTCTACAAGCAAAGGTAGCGGACAATATATCCGTTTTTTTTAAATAAAAAAACCGCTACCCTTTTTTCTAAAAGGGTAGTGGTTTCTTATCCATTTATTTACAATAATGCCACCGCCCTTTTTATTTTTAACAATACACTACCCTTGTTTAAAGAAGGGTAGTCTAAAGTCATAATTCTTTGCTCCATTTTGTACTAGTGTTGGTAATAGTAATGGGTTTTGGTAAAAATATTTAACATGTTTGGTAGTAGGGTGGAATGAGAATGGTTACTAACAGTAGTGTTTGAAAATGAATAAGGAAATGAAACCCTTATTTTATTTGGGCATGAATTTTTCAACTGATGGAGTATTCGAAACTCATAGTAGTGTTCTAAAAACCTATCAACCAAACAATAACAATCACTTTCATACACATTCCTATGGGCAAAACCCATCAACCAAACACACCCTAAAAAAGATGTTATAAAAATATAGCATTTTCACATAGAAGATGTAAAATGAATATTGAGCATTCTAGAACAACTTTTTTTTTTTTTTCCTTTTTAATGAAATTCAAAGAGACTAGTTTTCAAATATTTTTCCACTAATACATTAGAATATTCAAAATTCAATTATCTAGATGGAGTGTTCTTTAAAAAAAATTTTTATAAAGGAGAACATTTCTGTAATCTTTTACACTAAATATTGGATGATTAGATATATTTTTAATTAAATTTAAGAGTTAATCAATGATTTGGTCCCTCAATTATTAACGAACTGTCAATGTAGTCCCTTAATCGCTCAATTTGATCCCCGAAAACAATTATTTTTAGTCAATTTAGTCCCTCCGGCCGTCTTCCGTCAACAATTCGATTAGAGCTCCGATTTACCATGATCAACTTTGTCATTTATTGTGTTCATTCATCTTCTTATTACACTTCGTTGAACAGGGTCTGTGATTCTTTATCGTTTCTTGATTTGTCCTGGAACCGGTTCACGGATTCTGTCCTGGCGACGTTTGGGAACTGTACTGCTCTCTTGGAGATGATTTTGGCTTCCAATTCTTTCACCATTGCGATTCCTAGAGAGTTTGGGCAGCATCAGAGCTTGCTAAGATTGGATATTTCTTCGAATCTTTTGACCGGTTGGATCCCGCCAGAGTTCGGGAATGTTTGTAAGTCCCTTCTGGACCTCAAGCTTTCATATAACAATCTCACCGGGGCTATCCCGGTTTCCTTCTCGGCGTGTTCTTGGCTCCAGAATCTTGATTTATCGAACAACAATTTAACAGGGCCGTTTTCTGATTCCATTCTTCAGAATTTGGGCTCGCTAGAAACTCTGTTAATGAGCAGTAACAAGATCTCCGGTGCGTTTCCGCCTTCTTTGTCGTTCTGCAAGAAGCTTAGAGTAATAGATTTTAGTTCCAACAATATTACCGGCGTTATTCCGCTGGATTTATGCCCCGACACCGCTGCTCTGGAAGAGCAGAGAGCGCTAGATAATTTTCTTCTACGGGCAGATTCTGGCCCAGCTCTCGAAATGTTCGTAGCTCAGAACGATTGATTTCAGCCTGAATTATCTCAACGGTTCGATCCCACTGGAGCTGGGGAAGCTGGGAAATCTGGAGCAGCTGATTTCTTGGTACAACAACTTGGAAGGGAATATTCCGGCGGAGTTGGGGAACTGCGGGAGGCTAAAAGATCTCATCTTGAACAACAATTACCTCACCGAAAAAATACCAGCGGAGCTTTTCAACTGCAGGAATCTTGAATGGATTTCCCGGACCAACAACGGGAGAAGCGGCGATATCTCGCCGCAGTTTGGGTCTCTGACGAGGTTGTCGGTTTTGTAGTTCGGAAATAACAGCTTAACCGGAGAAATCCCGAGGTAGTTAGCTAAATGCACCAGCTTGGTATGGCTTGACTTGAGTAGCAACCGTTTAACCAGCGAAATCCCGCCACGGCTTGGCCGGCAGCAGGGGGTGAAACCCCTAAGCGGGATGTTATCAAGTAACACAATGACTTTTGTCAGGTACGTCGGAAATTCCTGTCGGACAATTCCCCCTCTGTTCAACGAAGTGTAATAAGAAGATGAATAAACACAAGAAATGACAAAATTGACCCTGGTCAATCGGAGCTCTAATCGGATTGTTGACGAAAGACGGTCGGAGGGATTAAATTGACTAAAAATAATTGCATTGACTAAAAATAATTGTTTTTTAGGACCAAATCGATGTCGGAGGGGCTAAATTGACTAAAAATAATTATTTTTGAGGACTAAATCGATGATTAAGGGACTACATTGACAGTTCGTTAATAATTGAGGACGATAGTTTTAATTTTCTTAATGAAATGCCTTTTTTTTTAGTACTATTGACTTTATGACAATATTGTATTCTCAACCTACTGAAGCATAAAAAATTAATATCACATTTATTGAGACTCGAACCTACAACCTCTCATATGGGAAAGTAACTTGGTACCACTAGACAACAACGTCCTTGCCTAAAGAAAATCATTAGTTTTGGATGGTAGACTAACAGAATTATGACGGAATGTAATAATTTAGTCAAGCTAACAATAATGTATAACATTTTAAACTCAACATACAAATCTATTAGCACTAATAATACATACCAAAATTAGAAATACTCCGTATAATCGAAAATTTATGGGTCTCACCCTTGGTCAAAAGTCATAGTTGCGGGCTGGTATACTCGTCCATCATTCACATTATAAATCTAAGAATCCAACGCCACTTTGGAGTTGTGGGAATCAATTTTTGGGA